TTTTTTGTTTTGTATTCCTGTTTGTAATAAGAGGGAATCCGGTCATTTACTATAGGATCTGACCAGTCTTTTTCCAGGTATTATTATGGACGCTGTAATTGCTTTACTACGAAGAATCATATACCAGAAAATAATCTGAGTCGTTAGGCCGTTTTATAATGAATAATAACGTTTTTATTAACTTAAAATTGTACAGATTCTTTTCGGGAATTTCAGAAAGCAACACTTCTTATGACTAAAAATAGGTCAAGAGATGGCGGATAGTCGAGGAGGAACAGGGACTATCTCATTAGAACTTCTGCATGTGTATAGACTGTGTGTTGTCCCATTTCAGTCAATTTGCTGTAAATTCTTACTGTAAAACATGAAAAGGTAAGGTTAGAGATAAAGGTACGTAATATCCGCGTAAGCTTGTATTCCATATCAAATTTGTCAAAATCAGTCGACTCATGAAATTATGGTTTCTCACCAAATTTTTTTTCTGAATCTTCCTCTCAAATCAAAGGCCTACTTGTCCGCTCAGTTTACTAAGACTCTTTTTGATTTACCGAGCGATACAGTGAATAGATTGGAGCCACTCTCATGATAGGTCCGCGATTCGTCCAGAATGATTAATTTTTACAAACCCATGAAGAAATGTGTTGACTGAGTCTACATTTATTTGAAAACGATTGTTGCCACGAATGGTGACCAACCATGTAACATACAAACCTTTAATCCAAATCCTTCACGAAGCTTTTGAGAAAATTTGCACTTAATGTTGCATTATTTAACCTAACATTAAGACCAAAAAATCGAGAAACTGAGTTATATAAAGAGGTTTTAACTCAGTGACATCGTGGCGCCGTTCGAGGATGCCGCTACTGCGCATAGACGAAAAACTTGATGTCACGTATGGGAACCCAGGCGACGGCTACGCGTCGACCAGCCGCGACAGTGATCGTACTGTAAATAAAACAGTGTCCTTCGCCGATTGTAACAATCTAACATTACTTTGATAAGAGAGAGAAACATTTTTGCGTATGCGGATTCAGCCATTTCCTTTGTCGAAATAAGTCAAACACGTAAATAATAATAAAAACACAGGCCAAAAAATGGGAAATATGCAAAGAAAACCCACAAGATTTTAAGAAAAAAACTCAAAAAATGAATGAGAAGTGTTATGTAGGATGATACAAGAAAATTATAGAATTATCTCGTTATCGTTGTTATTTTTTTATCGAATCCTTTTGTTTTTTTTAGTTTGTTACCGAATTGTTAAAGACTTAGGTATAATTAAAGTATTTGTAAATGTAATTTTACTATTGGCAATGTCTACCAGTGAAAGGACTACATTCTCTCGCAGTCAGCTGTTCCATGTCGGATTAAAGAGGATCCGGCGAAAGCTTCTTGAATATTAGAAGGCTCTTGGCGACAAGTCAACATTCTGGACGCTTGGTAGACCTATTGATTGCAAACATGCCTAGGATAACGCACTCAATGTGGGTCATGTCATCCCACTCGGTAAACTAAATTTTACGTGAGCAGTTCGGAAATCGTACAAATCAAGACATATTTTGATAGTTTGTTTGTTTTTTAATGTAGAATTGGACCGAAAGAAATGCAACAAAAACCAAAGTTTCTAGAGTTGATTTACGAGCATGAACGATTGCGTGCACCTTTGCACGAATTCAAGGAAGACGCTGAAAAACACACGTTCATGTGCTTGCAATTGACCAATCACATGGAATTACTCACACATTTAAGGAGTTTTCTGCGCTACGCTACTTTCATCTTCAAAAGAAGACTGTCCAACAATGCTATCTAAAATTGGCTCATAAGACTACTGTGGCAAAGTTGGGAGCTCACTTTCAACATTAAGTCAGTCTTCAACATCAGAATAAGAGAGACCTTGCCAAACAAGCCAACAGAGCGTGAAATCTCACTTAGCAACAAAGCAACTCTGAGCTAATCAGACCCCATTTAAATGTTCTTCATTTGTTATGACACGTGCTGGCACTGCTTTTGCTTTTTGAAAGCTAAACAGACTCCCCTTTACTTCACGTTTCAATGCTGTAGTTTTTAAAAGAATATGGCTATGGATCTTGATCATGACTATTAAATATTCATGACAAAATTGGGACCAGAGAAAAAGTCAGAATACTCAAGGTTTGGGTATAATGAAGGTTGGACTGTAACACCTTTCAATAACTTTTTTTTTTAATGAAAAGCAGTTAAATAGCTCAGTAATGATGAATAATGTTAAGAAGGTAATACAATACACATACTGATTTATGCTAAATGAAACATTGTGACTTTCTTTTTAAGTTATGTTGCCCGCACTGATCCACGCGATGTGGCACGAGTGGAATCTAAAACATTCATCTGTACAGAAGACAAAGGAGAATCCATCCCAGCAGCAAAGGATGGAGTTAAAGAATGCCTGGGTCAATGGATGAGTATTGAGGACATGAACAAGGAGTTGAGTGCAAGATTTCCGGGTTGCATGAGAGGTAACTAGTTATTCACCTAGTATATTTAGACTTTACTTTAAATTTGAAAGATGATCTTCAAGAAAATCTTCAAGTTAATTTACCATCCAGATTTTCCCAGACTTGCAGGCATGTAAAAGATATAAGTTAGATGCACAAAAAAAAAAGAAAAAAGGGTCCAAATTTCCTAAAAATTTGGGAAGAAAAACCATGCTTATTGACAAGAAAATGTTTATTTAGCACACTAATTAGCAGCATCGAAAAAATAGAATTAAAAAAAAACATGCACTCCCTATGCCTGATAATTATGCTCAGCAAGGATGTATGATTCCACAGGAGGATTTAATACCCTAAATGTCTGTTTGTTTAATCATTTCAAACAGATTTCTCACATCCTTGCTGGTAAACTCCATATTGATATGGTTACTGTAGAAGATGCTACATTATGTTACATTGTCTGGATTTATTAGTTTACCTAGTAAATAAAGTTATCTTTTGTTTCCTATTCTATGTGCCTGTGCCTTGAAATTTTAGGCCGCACCATGTATGTTATGGCGTTCAGTATGGGTCCAGTTGGGTCTCCTGTGTCTAAGATTGGTATCCAAGTCACAGACTCTGCTTATGTTGTCTGCTGCATGCGTATCATGACCAGAATGGGGAGTCATGTATTGAAATTTCTTGGAGATAACGACTTTGTGAAGTGTCTTCACTCAGTTGGCATGCCTAAAGCTGAGTAAGCCCCTGACTGCCAATGGCCATGCAATCCAGATAGGACTGTCATTGCACATTTTCCTCATGATCGTGAAGTCAAATCATTTGGAAGTGGTTATGGAGGGAACTCTCTGTTGGGAAAGAAGTGTTTTGCTCTACCGATTGCTAGCACAATTGGTCGTGATGAAGGATGGTTGGCAGAGCACATGTTGGTACATCTTGTCAATTTAATTTGTGATTGGTAGAGTTGGAAATGCATGAAGAGCACATAATATTTTTCTATCCAATCATAGAGTCTCCTGATTCAGAATTGGTCAGAATTATGATAAGAAAGTTTTTTCTTAGATAAAAATTTGCCTTTTTAACTTACATCGTAAATTACCATTTCTCTCTACAAAATATCAACTTGTCAACCTTTCTAGCATAGCATAGTAAATGACCACGATTTAAAAACTTCCAAAGAAGAGAAAATCAAAAATTGTTTAAGTAAGCTGCTGTTGTAAATTATACAGGTAATGTGTTTTTCTTTCATCTTAAGATCATGGGCCTTACAAATCCCAAGGGAGAGAAGAAGTACATCACTGCAGCCTTCCCAAGTGCCTGTGGTAAAACTAACCTAGCCATGATAACACCAACAATTCCAGGATGGAAGGTTGAATGTGTGGGTGATGACATTGCTTGGATGTGGTTTGATGAAGAAGGACAACTGAGAGCTATTAATCCAGAAAGTGGCTTCTTTAGAGTTGCACCAGGATCATCTTATTTGATGAATCCAGTTGCAATGAAGACTTTTCAAAAGGACACGATTTTCACCAATGTGGCAGAAACTAGTGATGGCGACTTTTTTTGGGAAGGTACTTTATAAAGTGTTGCATTAAGTTTAATCTGATTGAAGGTAAGGGAAAACGTCTGAAGAGAGTCAGGGAAATAGGAAGACAAATGTCTTTGGAAATCAAATTTGGAATAGTAGTACTAGATCAACAGCATTTTATTTTCCTTCCCAGTCCAAGTGAGGACAGCCTACTTTTATCATGTTTGAGGGCAACCTCCTTGTAAGACTTCAGACAAACATTTTACTAAAGATAGTTAAATAATGGTGTAACCTGCTATAGGTTACCTTGAAGACCACACACGACTCAGTAGCCTGTCTGCAGTATGGAAAAGTGAAGGACTTTCCTTGCATAATTACCTTGTGGGGGGTATACTCCTGATTCAGATCCAAAATTTAATGGGTTTCATTTTGTTACAAAATCTGATCACAAATAAATAAAATAAACCATAGACTTGCTCGGCCTGAATTTTTCCATGTTTCCTTTTCTGCAATTTCCTCAATTGCAGTTCACCTGAAAGGATCATTTTATTGTTTATTTTCATCCTCGTGTCAAAATATGATTTATTTCATTTTCATGTATTTGTGAGAAATGCAGGAATCAATTAAGAGGAGAAGAGGATAGTTAGATATGGCAAAGATTGACATGATTAGATTTGCCACAAACTATGACTTATCTCCATGTTCAACTTCAGGTTTGGTTAATTTAATTTGAATGGCTCCATTCTTAGCCTATTGTCTTGGATTTATTTGAAGGTTTGCCACTGCCAGATCATGTAGAAATAACTTCCTGGCTTGGAGTGAAAAACTGGAAGCCTGGTAATAACAAGGCAGCACATCCTAACTCCAGATTCTGTGCACCAAGTGATCATTGTCCAATCATGGACAAAGCCTGGGAGGACCCTAAGGGTGTTCCCATAAGTGCCATTCTATTTGGTGGTTGACGCCCACAGGGAGTTCCCTTGGTCTATCAGTCATTTAATTGGCAGCATGGGGTGTTTGTTGCCTCAGCCATGTCATCTGAGGCCACTGCTGCCGCTGAGCACAAGGGTAAAACTGCCATGAGAGACCCTTTTGCCATGAGACCTTTCTTTGGAGATGAAGAAACCAAACCACAAAATGCCAAAGATTTTCCATGTTAACTGGTTCCGTGTGGATGAAAATGGTCATTGCTTATGGCCAGGTGAGCTTGTCTTGTTTTTACCAAGTTCATACAACTGAAAGAAATCTCTGTTTTTGAAAAGTTAGAAAGATGATGAGTTAGAAATCTTTTCAGATACAACCAATCATTGGACTACTTTTGGAATATCAGAAAAAGGGAATCAAATATCTTACTGAACTAAGAACATCTTATTCTAAAGTGATCATCAGAAGATGGTGCAGAAAAATTGTAAGAAAAATTGTCTTTTGAGGAAGTAATGTTTCTGGAAGTTGCTTATGGGAAAAACTTGTTTTTGTATCGCTCAGCTATTGGTGAAAAAAATGCTTTTTTTCTTTCTCTTTACAACACATTTAAGAACGAATACTAGGTTGTTGTTGGAGTACTGTGTGATTCTAATGTAAAATGGTGTGGATATCAGGGTAAAGGGAACCCTGCAAAAACTTTTGGAGTTCCCCTAAGAGGCTACCCTTGGGTGCAAATAAGGAAGCCAGACATTGGTAGCTATTAAGAAATTATTGGATTAGGTTGAGCATGATATTATGAATTATCAATGCCAAGGTATGAGTTATCTGCTGAAGCCAAAGGCTAACTGAGGCTGATAACACAGGCACTGTGTTTGATAATACATGATATTATGTGAAAAGCGAATTCAGTAATTGTTTTATGATAAATTTATTAAACAATCTACAAAAGAAGACACCTCTCTGTGTTTGCAAAAGTTTGAGATTACTACATGGGCGGGGGGCTTGAAAATTAGGCAGACTTTGAACCCAAAATGATAATCCAATGTCTGTTGCAGACATTAATTAGCCCATGCTTTGAAAACCCTTTGAAAAGTTATCTATGCGAAGTTGATCTAACAAACGGTGCCTGGTGTTTCAGGGTTTGGAGAGAACTGCCGTGTTCTGGAATGGGTGCTGAGACGCTGTGATGATGAAGATGTGGCAGATGTGACTCCAGTTGGGTACATACCTAAACTAGATTCCATTAACGTTGACGACCTTACAGCAAAGCTAGACATGGAGAAGCTGTTTGACATCCCCAAAGATTATTGGCTGGGAGAATGTCAGTATCTACGCAAGTACTACGAGGATCAGTTGGGAGCTGATTTGCCTCAAGCAGTACGTGATGAGCTGAATGCACTGGAAGAGCGTCTGAAGGCAGCTTAAGCTGACCACTGCGGTGGAAAGACTAAGCAAATGCTGCTGTATCCACCGTTTTCGCTACTTCTTATCTTACAGATATTTTCTCTGATTTTTACTATGATCGCTTTGACTGGTTGTTGTTATTCAAGACCTTCTACTGCGATTACGAAAGTTGTTTTGACAATTATTATATACCCCAGGGATTTCTGGATAGTTTCTTAATGGAAAAATCTTTAAAAAAATGAAGGGAAAAAAGGTTAGTTGGTGCAAGAGCTTTACAAATTACCCACTTATGGTATCTATTTATGACGCAGAAAACTGTTCAATAAAAACTGATCAAAACTCATTACTTGGCGTAAGCGGGAGGGGGGGGGGGAGTTCTTACATGTGTAAGAGGCTTTGCAAAATAGAGACTATCGTTTTTTTAGCGCTCACGTTACGCTTGAACAGTAAAACTAGTGCAGGGTGACGTGGGTCCAGAAACTGACTGACTCTCTAAATCGTCTGTTTTCCCTGAGTGGAAACTACGGGAAAGAACACTTTAATAAAAGTAATTTTAGTGCCTAACAAACGAGCCCTACGAACTTGACGATGATCCTACTTGATTACTACTGTTATAACATAGCTAGTAAATTTGTCTGATCAAATTCAATTGCGCGAGCGTGCTTCATATTCCTATTGTGCACGCTCATGACGTAAGCAAACAAATCCCTCGAGAAAAAAAAATTTCCATCGGGTTGAAAATGTTATGAAACAATTGGTTCATACGTCAGCTGTGCGTTCATCGAGATATGAAGCACTTGGGAAGTTTGGAGAGCACTCAAGAAGCTAGAGTTGCTCTCGACTACGCCTCGAGCAACTCTTACGCATCTTTCGTGCTCTCCAAACTTCCCGCGTGCTTCATATCTCGATGAGCGCACGCTGACGTATGAACCAATTGTTAATTGACAGCGTGGTATGTATGTTTCACCTTAGGCCAACCTAAGTGCAGATTTTACATAGTCAGACCAATTGCATCGAACAGAGAAAGTCTTTCCCAACACGATCTTTAAGAACGCGAGAAATGGAGCTATCTAATTTTGTATCTCACCCTGCGTTAAAGAAACAACAACAACAAAAAACGTTTGGTTTATTCCTCGCTGTGAAACAAAGTTCTCGTTTGTTTCACAATGCATTAAAATTTCTCGCTTGAGCACTGGAATGATTTTGAAAAAAAAGATGAAAGAATCTTGACTAAAGTGTAAGGATCTTCAAGAGAGCATTGGCGGCAAAAAGCGTTTGGTTTATTCCTCCCTGTGAAATAAAGTTCTCGTTTGTTTCACAATGCATTAAAATTTCTCGTTTAAGCACTGGAATGATATTGAAAAAATTATGAAAGAATCTTGACTGAAGTGTAAGGATCTTCAAGAGAGCATTGGCGGCGATTCCTAACCTTCAATTTGTTCCCCACAAATCGATCACCAAAGCTATTTAACATCGTTTAGTTAGCGACAAACCTGATAATAGATGAGTAAGTGACAAGATAAAGTGTTCCCGCTGCAAGGTCCTTACATGGAGGATCATTGACCTAGACAAGTATGGTGGAAACAGGCTGAGCAAGCCTGTTAATATCACCAGCACTCCAACATAATCTCGTTTCTAATACACGAATTGTTTTGCCCAGAGTTTCAAGATCGTAATTTTCTTGATGCGTTTTTAGTTTCACCGTTCGCATGAGGTCCATAATTATCGATTTGAAAAAACCATAACCTAATCTTATATAACAGTCTAAAGCATATGCACCTTATTCTACACGTCAGCTAATTTTTCCGAATGGAGCTAAAATTCACAAAAAAGGGCTACAAGTAAAAACAGGAAACAACCCTTTATTCTTCAAGGAGAGATCAAACTATATACATCATAAATCGTCAATTGTATTTTCAAAAATCTGGTAGGTTGGCAATTCTTGGTTAATATCAAGTCTTGTCTAAAAGATAAATAGTAATTGTGATATTTGAGTAAAGTTTCCTAATCGTCGTCATCCTCGTCATCATCTACATCATCCATATCCTCTGCAGCCTCCATAGCCTCCTCCTGCGCCTTCTTCAGTGCTCTCTCCTCCTCTACTGTTGGGTCATCCACCTCTGTTACTTCCGGTACCACAGGGTACTCCTCCATGGCAGCAGGGGGTGGGGGCGGGGTGTAGTTGTCCGCATCAAATTTGTGTCCCCATCCAACATATAAATTTTCGAATTTCCTTTGGAAAAGACACAAAAAAAAAAAAGAGAAAAAGAAAGTAAGCTCTTTTCCTCTCCATTGCCTTGGGTCTTAGAACACGCGTTTGTGGACATGCTGGATATCAGAGAATGCCTGTTTATTTGAGCTTTTTTTTTCGCAAGTAGATGTACACAGAAAAATGTAAGCGAGAGAATTTCCTTATTTAACATTTACTAAGGTGCAAGAGGTTACAAACTTTATAAGCTTATGTTCAAGTGTTAATAAATAGTAGTTCAGTAGAACTACAGAGAGTCGCCTACATTTGACTTGAGAGATGCGAAAGATTTTGTTGAATTCTGAGTTCGGTTTATAATACCAAGAAGCTGTATAGGAGAAGGTCAAACCATAGATAATTATTAGGAAGGGAGAGTTTACAGACCAACTGCATGTCATTTTTACTTTCGCGTGTTCCGTACCTGTCTTTGGCAAAAGCCACTGCACCAGGCCACCTGTTGGAGCGCATGATAGCGAGGCCATACTGAGGTAGTAACTCTGACGACATGTTAGGAGTCCACGCCGGCATCCCATTAACAGCTGTGACCGGTAGAAAAATTAAAGACATACGCAATAGGCCTTGCAACGTGCCTACTGAGCCATACCATGTCGTTCCCTGGGTCCGATAAGCTTTCCCTGGGTGTTGTTCGGTCCCAGGTATTGATCGGCTCAGCATGGCATCTCTTGTGTTCCGTGATAGCGAGGTCAGCGAGAGAGAGAAAATACAAAATCGCACGGCTTGGGAAGGGGAGGGAAGAGTATTTTTTAAAAATACCTCATTTAGAATCTACCACCCAACAAGTCCAGAATTCGGGACGCCATGCGATGGATAAATCTCTATCCGATGGGTAGTACAGTACTTATCCTCTCTATGGCGATTTATCTGTTGGATAGCGTTATCCGCCCTTTGAACAACTGGTTCCTGCACCAGGTATCCATTATAGAGCTATTCTAAAAGACCTCACATGGTGAACAATTACGTAACCTCAAATAAGTTCACAATTGTCAGTGGCATTTCCAAATCATTCATAAGGAACTTGTTCAATATACGTTAAGGACAGATGGTTGAAGTCCGTTTTGCACGCAATAGGTTACAGGGGGATATCAAGGGGTCGATTACAAGCGGGTTTGTTTTGGGGTGAATATTAACGACGAAACAAAGAAATAAATTTGATTTCCAAGGGGTAGAAATAATATTGTCACTTAATAACAATAACATAAATCATTACATACCATCATCCTCTGCAATGGAGGTCAATAACTGCGGCCCTGATTCTGGTTTTGGTTCCTCTATGTCTTCCTTTTCATCTTCCTCTTCTTCCTCTTCAAAATCATCTTCAGGTTTTTCAACAGGATTGTGCCAAACACAGCGACCCTAACGAAGAAAAAACGAGAAGGATTTCTTCAGTCATTAAAGGCCTGTTAGTTCTTAAGATCCGTAGGTAGTTTCAACAGTAAAGTCATTACGATACCAAAACACGGAGAAAATTAAGCTGAATTAAGTCGAATTATTCGACTCTTTTACGATGTAACTTCTGTACGCCATGAGTGTATGGTTCATTGTTTATTTTTTTATAAAAAGACTCAGCAAAATTACTTCGGAGCGTCAGTTTCTTTAAAAAAATTTATCGACGGTGCAATCTTCTCATTATGTGACAAAGAAGTGTTACATAATTTTGTGCACCTTTCAAATGCCATATTGATGCAAAAAAAGAAGTCAAGTCAGTCAGTTACCCCACGCACCTGTGGTAATATATGCTGTACATGATGCACCCAGTTATGAAGTGATGGATCTGCAAGTTCTCTCACACTTATACCCTCAAAGTCAACATTCAACATGTAAGAGTCACGCACTGTGGAAAGGATGAGAGGAAAACGGGTTTTCTGTCAATTTTGACGCTAGTACAGAACTAAGTATGGTTATTTTCAGTTGATATCATTACTTAAACTGCAAGCTTATCGGTAGAAACAGGAGTTCTGGGTTCACATGCAAAATCATTCAGATTCAGAGGGCAAGTCTCTAAAGAAACTGTGGAGCTGCGTCGGTAGGGGATTATAAAAAGATAATTATGGTTTTATCAATTGAGTTGATAATGTAAATTAGCGCGTTAGCCCTTCGTCAGAGAGAATGGCGCCAACAACGTCAGCTTTGAAACTCTTTACGGTGGCCAATTTACATTATCAACTCAGTTGATAAAAACATAATTACCTTGTCATTAAGATTCAGTTATGCACAAAAAAGAACTTAATAGAAAATTTGATGCAAAGGCCAATATCAATTAATTTATCACCCAAGTCAATAAAATTTACTCTCAACCTCACTAAGTATATATTTTTAAAACAGTTCTGTTTAGGATCACCGTGCTTTGATTGCATATATACTTATATAATATACTTCGTGCAATGCGCAATGTAAGTAGGATATTACATAGCCCAGTAATGGCTTACGGGTTGAAGACTGATACCTTCTCCTTCATCTTCCTCCTCCTCCTCTTCTTCAAACATGTAGTACCCTGCAGGGCTAACTTGTGTTCCAGCTGAAATGCGAGCAATCTGTGCTCTCAGATAATTCATTTCATTTCCTGGGAAAGGTGGATAACTCACAATCTGAAAAGGTAAAAAAAGAAATAAGATCGAAATGATAACTAAAGAATAAATTTTTGGTTCTTTATCAGATTCTCCCGTGAATTACCGTGATAGTTTGTAGAAAAAGATATGCAGTTTATGGAACAACAGAGGTATATGGCTGAAGGAAAGCTAGGATGTACAGCCTTTAAATTTAAATTTTTAAGCTTTTCCAAGCCCTGAACAACTAAAAAAAAAAGGAAACTTTTCAAGATTGACATGTTAGTTCATGTGTCCAAAAAACTGACCAGAGTAAATCAAAGGTGAGACTTCCAGCTTAACTTTCCAGTTGAAAATAATCTACTTATGTCTCCTATTTGGCTTTTCTTTTACCCTATTAAGTTTTCATTGTAGGTATGATTTTTAGCTGAACAGTTTGGACAAGTTTACCAACACTCTTGACTTGATTTAGGCCTCCTTGAATTTTCTTGGCTCACATCCAAACACAGTAAAAGAGGTTCAACCCAAAACAATAGATAATAGGATCACCTTTTACAACTATTTATTTTTTTCAGTAAATATGATAATAAAGATTGTTGTGATGTTACCGGAGCATCCAGTCTTCCTGTAAAGAATTTTTTAATACATCTTGCAGCTACTATTTGTGCAGGGGTCACAGCTGGAAGTTTTATCCAAGGTTTACCAGCTGAGAAATTAAACAAATTGGATCTATGAGACAGTGAATATGTTCCATGCACATAGCTATAGGACAATGTTGTCATATAAAAATCACTAACAGAACAACACAATATCACAAAATTTACAGAATTTATCAGAAACAGGAATACAATTTTAACTTTATCACCATTGGGTATCCTGTTGTTGGTATCAACAGCTGACAACCTACACATATATGTGGTGGACTGATGACCAGGCAAAGTGTGCTGGACTCTGAATAAAAAGTTTATTAGTTGTAGCTTTGACCAGGTCATTGTGTTTACAACACATAAGTTACCTCTAGCCTAACTACCCTATTCTTACCAAGGAGTGAAAAAGCAGACTGTAAAGAAGACTGATAAAATTTTAAAGGTAACCCTGTCATGGACTGGCATTCCATCCAGTGTGGAGAAGCAAATGTCCTTGTCACTATGCAATACTTAAAGTGGAATATTGAGCTCTACCAGAATGGATCTTCTGACTCAGAAGTTGACCATACATGAGCTAAATTAGATGGTGATGACAGCTGTTAAAGTGACACAAGTTTGTCAAACATTGAAGAAGTAAGCAATAGAATACGTACGATCAGTTGTAACAAAGAAAGTTCTCTTGTTAGTGCCAGTTCTGTTTTCCTCTTTAGGTATAACTGGGGGCGGTTTCCACTCTGGTTTGGGTGTATCATCTTCTTCACCACCTTCATCATCTATGGCATATAATTAAAAAATACAGTTAAAAACTAATTGGATCTGTATTAAAATGAACTGCATTTATAACACTCAATCATTACAACAGAGATTGCAAGAGCCAGGCCAAAAATCAATCTAAGAAAACCTACTGGTCTGGTTTTTTAAAGAGTAAAAATGTGGAAAAAATTACCCTTAACTTTCTCTCACCTACCTATTCACATAGTTACCTTTTTCATGTCAACTTTTCATACTGACTGTTTAATGAATATAGAGAGGGACTTTAGAGTTCACAGTATTGTTCAAGTTTTTTCAGGGTATTTTGGTCACTCTTATCTGAAATTGTGGTACTGCAGTATTCTAAAAACATACTGCTGATGCCCAATGTGGTTTTTAATAGCATTTTGGAAGGTATTAAAAGCTTTGAGTCTTGCACCCACACATACCTTCTTCACCTTTATCCTCCTCCTTTGCCTGTTCATCTCCTTCACCCTCACCCTGCTACAAAGAAAAAAATATATCCATCTTTACTGGAATAAATGACTCATAAACATTTAACTCCCATAGCTGACCTGAACAGAATTTCTCCTTACAATATTGATACCATGTGACGCAGACAAATACTGAGAGGAAAGAAAATTATCAATAATTTATGGAATTTGTAGTTGATCCATTACCAAATTTTTGGAACTTGCATCATAAAAATTGTATGGCAGACAATAAAGAGACAGACAGTAAGGAGATTTACTAAAGAGATATTGTGAGTGAAATGGTTAACCATTAAGTTTGGCCATGCATCAGAGAGGAAAAAAAGCAGGATCCATAACTTACTGAGAAAACAAGGCTGGTAAGATATTTTTTCATTAATTTTCTACATTGTCTTTGACAGGCTTGGAAGAAGACTAGCAGTATGCTGTGGAAATGTCATGATCCACACCCAAACAATGACCACAAACGATTACATTTCTCCTTTGAAATTTAAGCAATTTCTAGTCACAATGAACAGCTTCAATTAAGATTACAAATCTACTTCCCAAAAGTAGAAAAAATTTATTGCAAGCAGACATGGTTTTATGCTATTCAGGTTTAAAGATTTGATGAATGTAACCAAGAAGTTACAATTCATAGACCCAATGTTTTGACACTCTTGTCTAGTGCCTTCATCAGGGGTGACCTCAACGCTGCAACAGGTGGTCCTTTTATACACTTACTAATTAGCTATACCCTTTTTTCTGACGAGATGTAAGAAAGTAAGCTGCCATCCTCACAATTCAAAGGAGTGTGGGTGGAGTTGATATACCAAGCTTCCAAACAAAGGCACTTGTAGTAATGCCAATTAATAGTGATAATTTTAGACCTATCCTACCAAATTGTATGGTTGGTTAGGCATGTGTGCTCCGATAAAGCTGAATTATCTTTTTCACAAAAGAAGACCGCTTTTTGATGTTCTTTCAAACATGTACCAAACTGACATTTGGTCTGTGTGATATACTCATTATCACATTCATTGCAAGGAATACAATGAATAGCATCAGTTCATTGTTCTTTCGTAAAAGGATCCTTAGGTTTGGCAAAAATATGCCCCAAAGTCAAAAGATTTTTGAACAACTTTAACATTGAGGCTATTCTTTATTGGAGCACACATGCCTAACTATATACCATACAACTGGGTGGGATAAGTCTAAAATTATCACCACTAATCTGCCTTACAACCAGTGCCTTTGTTTGGAAGCCTGGCATATCAACTCTGCCCATGCTCCTTTAAATCACGATGATGGTGGCTTATACTTCTGATTGTTCACCTGTTTGCCATCTGAACTTTAATATATTAAATTTATTGCAAATTGTTGTGAAGTCAAATTAAGCAAGTTTCAAATGATTTTAAAAGGAAAGAGAGGATCTAAAAATTCATCCATTAACCAAAGTTACAACAATTGGTGATACCTAGTGAGACATACTGTGACAAAAATAATGTTGAATTTTTGGCTGGCTGTGAAGTAGAGTTAATGACTACCAAAATTTACCAATCAATCACCCCACACATTATAAGAAACTGGGAGGTAAAATAAACTGTAATGGCTAATTTTTAATTCCTCACTTCTTCTTCTTCTTCATCCTCCTCTTCTTCTCCTTCCCTGTATTCTACCTCTGCCACATAATAATTTGACTCAATACCAAGCACTTTACCTGTGGAATTGAAATGCATGTTATTCATTGGACGTCACAGTTGAGAATTTGACCTTGCCTTCTCTTTCCCATTCACACAGCTGCATATAAAGTGTACAAGTACATAACATTTTCAAATTTCTTTCACTACCACCCAACCTACACTTAATGAGGGTCTCATATGCTTTGAATGTGAATCATGATTTTTTTTTTTTAAATTTGTGAATTGTGATTTCAGATAATATGATCTTTATGTGTTCACATGAATTATATGTATTTCGCGGCTGTTTGAGATCAGTGAAGGCACTTAATTGCCACTCAGATTAAAGACAAACCAGAAAAACTTTTGAAAACCTGTTTGTATTTTTGATGAAAACTGAAAACTAATGCTAAACCACATAAAATCCACAAAGCAAAAGGAACAGCAAAACCACAAAACCAAAGTCTTTTAGCGCAAAAACTGAAAAACCAATATCAAATAGCCAAAAAATCCCAATGCCCCCCTCCTTATTGAAGAATGATTTGTACCTCTCACTTGCCTTCATCCATGGCGGCACAACACAACTCCTCGACACAGTTTTGAAAGTGACTACATGGAGTTCTGGGGCAAAAAAACTTTCAAATGGGCCTGCCTTCTATTTGGGCTTGTTACGAGATGTCTCTAATTTTCATTGAGAATATTTTAATTTTTTCACACCCCCCTTCTTTTGAACTCTCTATTATTTTGTAATGATTTGATTGTTGTATTTTTCAAAACACTATTTTTTTTCGAATTGTGTTCTGACCCCTAAGGTTTTTGGCCAAAAAAAACCTTCCAGTGGGGCTTGAGCTCAATAATATTATTTAACATGATCTAATATGATCCATGATCCAATCCATTATCTGGTTTGTGATCCGATCTCTAATCCAGTCCATGATTGTTCACATCACTCAAGGTCATTTTAGATCATTCCTTGTTTTAGTAACTATGCCCTCCTTAATGCATGGCATTCAGGGGCATCCAAATGAGGCATGGAGACACTAATGTTGTTTCCAAATAATTATATAGCTATCATATTAAATATTTCTATCAAATTAGTAAACCACTATGTATGCAAATGAAATGTGATGTTAGCCTTTTTATCAGAATTTGAAATCTGGCTTGTAAGCCATGTTGCCTCAAAAACCTTTCATTAGCTGGTGAAAATGGAGAAGTCTGGAGATATACTGATCTCAAAATGATTTTGGGTAACCAATCAACTGCAGTGTTAACATAAATTCAAACTGAAAAGATCAGGTGAAGTGGTCAGATTCACAGGGTCCAAGTGTGGAGGTTTCCTCTCCTCTATCCACCCCGTCTTGTGTTTTGACCACTTTCTTGCTTTCAACAAAACCTTCGGACATTTTACATGTAATAATATTATAATGATATTCTTAATAACACATGCAAGCTTAATTTGACCCTTTCCACCATTTTCTACATATGATTCAATCAATTTAAACAATTCTCAAAGACTCCAGAGCTACTTTAAAATATCATGAGCTGGTTCTGATCAGCAAATTTTTAATCTTGAGTTGACAATTAACCAATTCAGTTCAAAAGGTCTTGCTTTCTTCATTACCCATACCAGTTGCCAAATAGCTACATGTAAGCAATTTATAGCGGAGCTTGCAGAGCATAGCCCCATAATTATACAAAATAGTAGTAACCCATCAAGCTGAAAAAATTTGGATGTACGACCATACAACCGTACAACCGTATGACTGTACAAGGCGCTACTTTTAACATGCGTGGTCAACTCTACCATGGGCACGCAAACACCATGGCTATGTCCAGTAGTCCAGTGGTCAGTGCACTGGGCTCCGACTTGGACGACCCAGGTTCTAGTCCTGGCGAGGGCAAGGTGTTGTGCCCTTGAGATATGCTCCGCTTTTAGGCTTGGCTAAATCTTTATATTATGTTTTTACTTTGGTTCTTGAATTTTATGCTGGGTGATTGCTTAGGGTTAAAATCTATGCAGGCCACACAAATTATACTAAAAGGACTTGGAGGTGCTTATTCTTGGGTCAAAACATTTAACTTAAATCAAACAAAAACAAATTACAGTGATTTTTTAATTATCTTTCTTACCCCAAAAACGAACCATTTGTAATGGTTTAGTATCCACCAGCTGCTTTAATGCGAGAAATACTCTAAACATTTCTTCACGGCTCAATCCTATTCCAGCTTGTTCAAAGTAAAAATTTAAATTCATGAGATCAGGGAGAGGGGTTTCAATATCTTCTTCTGTCTCAGGTTCACCACCTTCTCCATCACCATCTTTCTATTTATACAAATGCAACAAAATACACCGTTAACAGACTTGTAACTTAGTTAAAAACAGACAATCCACCATCCTTGAGGGATCGTGCCATTTGCATGAAAAATACCAAATCAGTTGGCATAAGTTCTTGATACTTGACATTATTGAACATAAAAGCATTTAAAAGATGATTTGAAAAGGAAAGAGAGGGGTGAAAACATCTAAAAATATGTAAATCTATTTTTTTTTCCATAATTATCCCTTAGAACACTGGAAACAACTTTTTCTAAAACCTTTATTTCAACATTCTTGGCAGGGGTATGCCCCCTGACCCTCTCAAGATTGTCCACCTTTGAGTATACATTTATCTGAACCCCCTTTCACTAAGTCCTAGATCCCCCTTAACAAATCACTCTTTAATGATATCAGTCAGTCTCACTAAGTTAACATTACCAGCTACAAGATCATTGTTACTCGAAATGTGATCCATATTATCATTTGAAAAGCTAACCTCAAACAGTTTCTGGTGTACTTCAGCAGTCTCTTTGCTTTCCTTGTCATCTTCTAGTTCCTGAATATAATTGGGAAAAATTCAGTCTCATTTTATTTGAATCGTTCAACTACAAGACTATAGCATAGTATCTAGTCTTCAGAATTTGCCCCTGACAGAAAATTTGTAAACCTCCACTGATTTGACTAGACTCTGCAGATAGCAAATTAACAATTCATGCATTTACAATCACTATGCTAAAATGCTGGAATAAAACAGGAGAAGAAAGGAATACTTAAGCAAAATGAAATAGTGTTAAAGGAAACAAAATATTGAGTGCTCTAAATTTCAACTACCAAACATGCAGAAATCTTTAAAGAGAAAGAGAAATGGTAGTTCCACAGAAATCATAAAAGTTGGATCAATTGATTATTTTGAAAAAAAATCCAGATTGGTTTCCACACACCAATTCACTCCTGTCCCTGAAACACACCACACTCTAGCTACAAGAAATCTCTTAACAATTTAGACTTAAAAATATATAAATAAAAAAGTTGAAATAACATCACCAAGCAAATAAAAGCTGTATTGAAACAATTGAAAATACTACAGTTTCCAAGATGGTAAGATACCCTTGTTTCCCCATAAGAAAATAGCAAGTTCTATTATAAAGCAAATCCTACCTCAGACTCCTCAGTCTTTCCTTTTTTTACATTTTTACTGATGTCTTCAAATACATCTAGAATGGTATCATTGCAATAAGGAGCACTCGAACAAGTAAGAACAAAATAGCTTAATAACATAACTTCTGATCACATTAGCACCTATGCCTGTCAAATCCCTTACCCTGCCTCATCTCCTAGTTAGAGGACTATCGAGAGAAAAAAAAAATTCCTCCTCTGCCTTTAATCCCAACAGAATATTGAAATACAGTTGATTTGTTATAGCATTGAAAATTTTAAACAATTAAATACAAAAACTCATTTTGTTCAACAGTTCCGAATTTTAATTCAAAACTTTTCCTCAATTTCAATACTATCACAACCTTTTGCCAAAAACTGACATTTTAAACAAAATAGGTATCCCTTTTTTCTTCTTAGTGAGGGTGTGTGATAGGAACACCCCTCCTCCCCCTTTTCCTGGCCTAACCAACCTCCTCAAAAAAAATAATCTTTGACATTTTGGTGTTCAGTAAATTTTCAATGAGCCCCTCCTCTCTAATAAGCCTCCTTCTCCAGTTAGCAACCAAGTAAATGTTGGCTCTGTAAATTGATAACCCCCATGCCAGGACTAATCAGAGGGTTAACAAAATGTTTCCTTGCACCATGACAGTGACATACTATAGACACACATTAGTTATACTAAAAAAATATACATATATTCCACTGTAAATTATATCTTACTCTGTAAACATACACTAAAACATATCTCAAGAAATGTAGATGTCTCCTGAGGAGGGTGATCAATTCAAGGCATTTTCACTAGGAGATAAGTGAAATAAGGCACAAGAAAAAAAGCTTAAAATGAAAAAATACCATGATTACTTACCAACACAGTGATTTGGCCTTTCCTCTAAAATTTTGCTTAACACATCACTTAAATGGTCATATCTGAACTCATACAAAAGAGAAAAATCAACGAATGGCTAAAAATAAGTACAATATTTCTTTCGAATGGGATGGGAATATATATAATGGCGTAATATGTGACT